CCCCGCCAGCTGCCATGCTGAGCTTGTGCTGGGCACTGTACCAGAGCGCCTTCACTCTGGCTGTATTCAAGAGTACGGTCAGGGGCACAGCGGTATGGGGGCACGGTGCACCTGCAGCACCCGCCGTGAGCACTGCTGTCGGGTTTCAGTCTCGCTGATGCGTGGAACCAACCTCAACTTAAAGTGTCGCTGGGCAGCACACTGCAAGTAGCCATCGATACATTGAGAATCACAGCGTTTGATTCAAACTTTGCGCAACCAGACAAAATGGGTTGGCCGAGGCAGCAGCTTCAGCGAAGCTACCGGCTACCTTGGTTGTGCATGTGGGGGGAGGGGGCGTGGCGGCAGGGGTTGGCCAGCAATGTGGAATGCGCAGCGTCGGTACAGCTAAGCTAACAAGCACGCTTGCGAGTGTGTTTCGTCAAGTCAATGCTTGTGCTGCAGCAGTCTGGAGTCTGGCAGCGGTGGCGGCCGAGGGGGGGGGGGAGGTCGAGGAGAGGGGGCTTGTCGTGCTGCTGTAGGCCACCGCGGGCGCGGGCAGCTGTCGCTTGTACGTATGCAGCAACTCCAATCCTCGCACTTACGCGCGAGAAAGTCTGGCCTTTGCTCGAGGTGCCAGCACTTTAATGAGATGAATCGAGCGGCTACGCCGGCGAGCGATGCGACCGGCTTGCACACAACTACCTCAGTTTGGGCCTGATGAGCGTCCTCACTCTTTGCTGGACGCCTTTGGGCGACGGCCGCTGACTGTGCCTGCCTTAGCAGGGGTACACTTGATCATCATGCCTTGTAGATCATGCACTCCCCAGAAGATATTGTCCAGGTGGGTGCGCATGGACCGTGCCCCCGCATTTCACGGCCTGCCCAAGGATGCGAGCCGCTAATGAGCTGCTTGCTCCACCTGTCCACCACCACCCAACCAATCATGCCTGGCATTGGATACTCTGCATCCCATGTCACTTGGTACTAATTCTTCCTTTTGATTCGTGTCGGACGGGGTGACACCGGGTTCCGCAGTCTGATCTCCCCGCCCAGCGCGAGAACTGGCTGAGTACCCTGGTCTTATCGCAATTTCTGCGCCTCATATTGGAAACACGAACAGCGCCTTGCGCTGCTGCGGCCAGCCAACAGCCACTGCACTGTGACCAAAGCGGCTCGCGCTGCATTCAACGCCGCGTTCGCGCTGCAGCGGTTGGGGCCAGCCACGCGGCGGGCGTCCGATACACCCATCGGCAACGTTTTAGGCCCCACACAGCTACGATGAGCGGCGGCAAGGGGAGCGGCGGGGAGCTGAGCATGCTAGAGTCGTCCCCAGGTGGGACCCGGCAGCAGTCTGGGAAAGGGTGATTCGCAGCCGACGTCCAGACCAAACAGGCGGGGCC